AGAAACTCTTCATATAATTTTTTTATAGATGTGTATGATTTCCTATACAGAGAGTAGCTACACATAAATTACATAATGACATAGAAGAGCTTTCAAATGCCAACATAATTTCAGCAAAGAGGTAATTCAAACATATAAATTTTATATACGCTTACAAGTCAATTTTATAGGTTTGTATGATTTGTTTTTATTTATAGACATAATCAGCTTATAATATAGCTATTTTTTTTGTTAGTTATAATGAATATATTTAATCAAATATTTGTTTTAACTTTTGCTTTTCATCTTCATACTGTATTTCTCAATTTCATACAGTTGAAATCTACCATATGCTATACCAACTGAAATGATTATTGTCAAAGAAAAAAAAAACTATGAAAGGTCATTCGGATTTCTGAAGGAAAATAGAAAGAGGATAGTATAATTAAAAAGCAATCGAATCATGTGCTCGATATGCTTTGTGTGTGGTTGGACCATAATTAACCATCTATATGAATCACTAATAATCATCAACAACTTTTCAAGTTTAAATGTGTTTAAAGAATTCTGGACATATGGTGGAAGTTGAAAATTCTAATCAAAGAAAATTCTCCGTGAGAAAGTAAAATTCAAATATCATCAGTCTGGAGTGAAACTCTACAAGTTTAAAGTAATTAAATCGAGTTATTCTAATATTTTTTAAATTTCTTAGATCGATTGAATAAATATGTTTGAATTTTTTTTTTTAACAATTTTGTTTTCGAAAAAATACAAAATAGTTAATTGTGAAAGAGTTATATAATTATCAATAGATTTTAAATTTATATGTTTATATAACAAACAAACTATAAAAAAATACAACTATTAAAATTTTTAAAACATTTGCCAATTAAATTTTAAAAACAAAATTTAACAATGTGAAAAATTTAACAAAAGAAAAGGAATGTGATAAACATCATAGGAATTGCAGCTAAATAATTTGTACTATTCTTGATTCTCATATGCAAATGTTATATACGATGAATTACAAATGAGATATGTCCTAGGCTTTAATTATCTCATAAATCTAATCCAACACTGATTTAGACCAAAACGAGTCTGAAAATCTTTTTGATGAGAACATTGTCACTCTTTGATTGTCTGGTTACTATATGTAGACGATGGTAACCATAAAATGAGCGCATGTATTATTTTTAAAGAAGTAGAGATATGTGATTATATGTCTTCAACCCAAGACTTGGTATCTGATTTTTGAAACTTCTAGATGCCATAGAATAAAAGTTGCAAGGTCACGTCCATCGTCAACAATTATTTCAATTTTAAAACTGGATATAGAGTCATAAGCGTTTTTACAGAATCACCTCCCAAATAATATATATAGGGGATTTTTTACACATGCAAAAAATTTCTAATACATCTTATTTTTATGGTAAATTAATTATTTTATTCTCTACAGTTGGTTCACTTTCTACCATTATAATTTTGCAATCGTATATGTCGATGTCTAGCTAATTTAAAAAAAAATAAGTCCAAAATTATTTAAACCAATAGGATTTAAATCAACCTATTAAAACAAATTAATAAAACCCTTTAGTTTTTAGTAACATACCATTTATTTTCGGATATACTCAAATTAATGGTAATATACCATTATTATCTTATGATAAATAGAAACTACTCTTTTTTTTTGTGATTCGATAGTAATTTTTTTTTAATCGAAATTGTGATTCGTTGTTATATATAAAGTTGAGGCTATAAACTCCTAAAGACGTCCACGTAGGATTTAAATCAACCAATAATATCATGCCAAGTAAGCATTTATAATTAAGTTAATTTTGTTTTTTTTTGTTAATAACAATTTTTCCATTTTTTTAAAGATAAAATTTTCAAAATTTTTCCTTTTTTAAAAAAACTATAAATTGGAA